TGCAGTTTTTTGTACAACTTGTCAAACCCTACCCTGTTCACGTTATATATATAGTGGCTGTCCAATTCTACTTTTTATTTGTCTTAAATTTGATTGTTGGAAAATAATACCTTGTTTTTCGTAGATTTTTTTTTTTTTTTTGTAATTCTAAGCAACATCCTTTTTCTACAATGTCTGCGTAATGAAATTGATGGAAGATCGAATAACAGAAATAATAAATTGAGTGGACCTCATATGGGAGGCCATTTACCTCTGAGCTTATAACATTTAGATATTTAATTTGGACGTAAATAATGACATTTAGATTACATACTAATCTTTAAATATTACTGCCTTCAGATTAATAATCTAAATAATTCAATGGTCATCTCCTTCAATTGGAAATAAGAGGTCCTAAGTTCGAGTCGCATGGTACGCGGATGAATTGGGATAAGAGATGGAAGATGATTGTCTTTTATTGTGCAATAAAAAAAAACAAAAAACAAAAAACAAAAATACTACTGCCTCTAGTCTTTTTTTTTTTTCTTTCTAGTCTTTCAATTTTATATAAATTAACTTATGATTTTACATAATAAATGAATGATAATTGAAAAAATTTTTGATTTAGATGAAAATATCCAACAAAAACTACATATAGAAAGAAAAAAATTTTCAATTATCATCTATTTACTATATAAAATGATCTAGTCAAAATTTACCCAAAAATCGAAATATGATAATTAAATATGATCAGAGGGAGTAATACAAAGTTGACATTTAGCTGCTAATGATAAAAGTGATTTTAGTAATAATTTTTTTTTATATAAAAGTAAGAGATTTTATATTAAAGTTAGATGTACAATAATTTTATTAACATTTTAAATATTAAGTGATACTTAGTTTATAATAAAATACTAATTAAAAAAATAAAAAATGAGCTCATGGTTTAAATTTCTAGATGTCATTTTTATGAAAAATTGTACTTATTTTTGAAAATTAAAAAGACTAATTAAATTTGCACAATTAAATCTTTTTTCCTGTATCTACCATTCAAAATTTTTTTTACGAATTATTACATTTCAAATTAGTAATTATCAAAAAGAATAATTTAATATATATTTTAGTTAATTATTATAAATATAAAAACTTACAACTAGTTACATCTAGCAAAATCCAATACAAACGAAAAAGCGCAAAGCATACCTTACGGTCTAGTTCTTTATTTTTTAAATTCCACCGACTCAAACCATCCCTTTTGGATGGGATATTTTGGCCTAATAGCCATGGACAAGTCAATTTGAAGATATCCCTAAAATTAGACAGACCGAAAATCCATATATCAATGTTATAAAAAAAAATAATTGATAATTGTTTGCTAAATTTAATTTGGCTTTGGTCACTAAACGTCAATCTTACTTCATACTTGAAATTTGCTTTGGCAAAAGATCACTATCCTTTGGTTTAATAATTCTTTGCCTTTAGATGCCTTGGGAACTTTATATATTATAAGGTTTAAACTCTAAAAGTATGGTCGATGACAAAGAAAACGATGAGTTACTTTAAAGGGTTGAGGGTTCACACGAAGTATTACTTTTCAAAGAGCTTTTGGAATAAATCATCATTCGAATTCTGTTTAAAAAAAAAAAAAAAATTTATCATATGTAGCTTCTGTGCCCCTCTACTAGGATTAGAGTTTGAAATTGTAGATTTCTTCCTTCACAGTTGTAGAATTGTCATGGTTTAAGTCATCTTTAACTCAACAAATTTGTCACAAGTCTTGTATTTGACACCAAAATAAGGCACTTGCCTCCGCATGGGAAGTTAGTAGTGTCCACCCTATTATTACCCTTACAATATCAATCGAAGTTGAACCCTCATGCATGGCCTTTCATGCCAAATTAGGCAGAGATATCATTCCCCCGCAAAAGTGGTCCGTAAATGGTTTCCACAACCATGTAAACATTCTCCTCTGTCGCTGCTCCGTGCCTAGTAGCAGCTACAAAAGGCGGTCGGGTCGGTATTGGGGAATCCTTAAACGCTGAGCAATTTCATATGTACTTGGGAAATTATTTCCACCACTCTCTTTTGTGCATTTTCACAAGCATGTGGTGGGTATTAGTGCCGTAATCATGGGACCTGTGAAAGCGTAAATCCTCCTGCACAGCTTTTGTAAACATTTTCAAAACTGCAAACGCAAGATGTGGGTCTCAGCATTCATTAGTAGTTGCAATTGCTTTCATTTTCACTCCTCAGTTGCGAGGTCAACAAGCCATGTTCGTGACTTTATGACTTGGACAAATAATAGGAAATGCCACCATTCCAATAATAACAAGCAGCAGCAATCATGTAGTCATTTGCATTATTACTTACAATAAGTTTAACTTAATGGAGAAAAACACGATGAAGATAAAATGAAAAATAATTTTGTAGTTTGAATTACACTAAATTATAAAATATTAATTATTAAATAATAAAAAATCTCTTGATACTGGTGTAAGCTTATTTATTTAATGGTTAGTGTATTGCAAAACACTAAACTCATTTTTTAATATAAATTTAAAGGAATAATTGATCCATATTGTTTTGTAAGGCAGTTACTTGTGTTAATTAATTAGCTGAGAAAAAAAATACCTTGTGTGAATTAATTGCTAAAAAATTCTAGTATATCAAGTATGGGCAAATCCCAAAGCCCTCAAACTTACCCCACGGTAACATGTAAGCTCCTAAACTAAAAAACATGCATATAAGCCCTCAAACCCCATAAACGATGCAAATTAGCCATTTAATAACATCATTTATTAACGGAGTTTGTTGCCTCTGCTATAAGAAATGACTAATGTTAATGCATTTTAAAATAAATGATTAACAAAATTAGAATGTCCTAACAATTAAAATGTTAATACTTGTTATGAAATTATTTAAATATCCTTAATAAATTAACATACAAAAAAAATGCATACAAGAGAGATTCATTATAGGTATTTAAATAGTTTTATAGGGAGTTTCAGTATTTTAAATGCTAAAACATCTTAATTTTCATCTTTATTGATTACAATTTAGCTTTATAGAGCAATCATTATTTTAAAATGAACAATAATTAATATACTTTTTAATTTAATACACTTTACAATATATTTATTAAATAATTATTATTTTTAAACTTAAATTTAAAATAAAAAAATCTTCGATCGTAAATTTTAATGATTAAGTAGCGTTAGCTGGTGTGTAGATTTAAAGGGTGACCTTTCCGATACATCAACAGTAGTCATTGGTTTTAACAAACCCAACAAAGGTAAAACCATTCCATGAACCCTTAAACTTGCCCCATTTTAGCATATATCCTTCTAAACTAATAAAAAATGGTAAATTATAATCCCTTGAACCACATAAATTGCAAAAAATTAGTCCTTTATGACAACTGAAAAGAACTCATGATGTTAATGTATTAATGAGGCAAATAAATTAAATTAGCAACTAAATTAAACTTTTTTATTTTTTTTAATGAAAAACTATTTTTTATTTTGTAATCCGAATTATATATATTAAATTATAAAATATGAACTTTTAGATGAGGAGTAAACCTATTGATATTGGAGCTATTCCTCCACCTAAAGGTTTTTGTTTTACAATCTAAATGGTAAAATAATAAACTATTTTTTTAATTATTAGGTAAGTGTGCATTAATGATAGTCATTTTTTAATCAATCACATCAACTAAAATTAACAGAAACTATCAATTGTAATTACCGAAGGGGCTAATTTACTTTAATTATATGGTTTAAGGGCTTATTTGCTTGTTTTTTAATTTAAGGGCATATTTACTAAAATGAGGTAAGTTTGGGCTTAAGAAATTATTTTGCCACACAACGAATGCCGTTAACAAATAATGTTACGAAAGAGGGTTGATTTGCACGATGCGCGGGGTTTAAGAGCTTGTATGCACTTTTTCTAGTCTAATTACTTACATGTTAATATGGAGTAGGTTTGAGGGCTTAATGTTAGGTTTTGCCTAAGTATGAGATTAAAGTTAGACATGTACTAAAAATAAGTGTTTTAGGCTTTGTCTGTTAGTGCTTAATTTGCATAGACTTTTTTTATACAACACCTCATTTTAAAATGTAATTTATAATTCTTAATTAATTTTAATTAATTTTTTTACATATTTTTATTAATTTTAATTAATATTTTATATATTTTTAAAATATTAAAAGATAAAAAAACTTACAACTACAATACAATGCTACAACACAAACAAATGAAACCTTAGCATTAATCT